AGAGGGGCCAAGGTGGCGAAAGCGGTAAACGATAGCAAAACCGCGCGATGTCAGCTCGAGGAGCTGCAACGTCACGATCGCGCGATGGAACGCGGATTGTGTCGTAAATCTGGACGATGCGACAGGGCCAGATATTCATTGGGTAGTCTACGCGAAGAGGAACAACCGCGTAGTGTACTTTGACAGTTTCGGTAATCTTCGACCACCTAAGGAACTGGTGCAATATTTCGGAAACGATGTTACGACGATAGAGTACAATTGCACGTTCTATCAAATGTATAATCAGAACTTCTACGGACAAATGTGCTTGCGGTTTCTACGAATGGTTGATACGCGCGAATTTATAAAACCTGAGGTGCCGCGAAATCACAGTATTCATCGAACGCTTTTTCCGTAATGTCGTTGACACTTACACTGAGCGGGAAGAGCACTATCCTCACGACAAACTACTTTCCTGCCATAGAGTTGTGTGATGACGACTACGAGCTCGATCTAATGATTCTTGAAACTTATCACATGATATCGAACGAATCGAACAAAAAATTTTATTTCGGCAAAGACGACGCGGAAATTATAATTCCCAAGGATTCGTACAAAGTGCGAGACATAAACAAATTTTTGAAACGTGCGATTTTACAGAAACGTCCGCGCCGCGACGCACTTGAAATCGTTGACGTAGTAACAGTACGTGGTAACAGTAGCAATAACACCCATGACGATGGCGGGGATGGAAAATACCCGATAACGCTTCGCGCAAATTACAACGCGATGAGATGCGAGATTAGATGTTCCTACAGAATTAAGTTTGACAAGTTCAATAGCGTCGGATCGCGGATTCTCGTCAAAGCGTATACTGTGACCGCGAAGATGGCATGAATCGAACGTGTCGATCAACATAATGAACGTAAATATTATCCGCGTAGAATGTAATGTGACCGTGGACGCGTACAGCAATGGCAAAGATGCACACACAATATACGAATTTTTTTCGCCGAGCGTGCCGCCGGGATATAAAATATCAGAAAGACCCACGCAAATCATTTACTTGCTGATCACCGCACGGAGCATTAAGGATCTTACGATACACGTTGTCGATCAAAACGAACGATTATTCGATTTTCGAAGAGAAGAGATCACCGTCAGATTACACGTGCGATGACGACAGCGATAGAGCGAGCGTGAGATGCTCGTATTGAACGGAGCGGAGCGCACGCAGAGAGATAACGCTTTACAAGACCGATAACATTACCGATCTATAACATTTACTCATCCAGTTACATCAGGAAGAAGAAACTCATCCCGTCGAACGTTAAATTTTTTAAATCTTTGGGGTTCACGGTACGCAACTTTCGATATGACTGATATCCTAAACATTAAGAACGATCCGATCTTCGACAATCGCATCGTAAAGTTTGAGACTCACACATACAATCTGTTTGCTAATACAACATTTGGATATAGCAACGAAATAAGAATACCCATGCAGCAATAGGATTTATACACGTTGCCGTGCGAAAGCTTTCTATATGTTGAGGGAAAACTGACGAGAAACAGAATGGTCCGAGGTGCTACCGCGGTATTGGAAAATAATTACATCGCGTTCATGTTTAATGAAATTGGATACGAACTCAACGGTGTGGAGATTGATCGCAACAGAAACGTCGGAATTACCAGTACCATCAAGAACTACGTATCGCTGACGTATGATAAATCTTTGATTGCGCTGAATGCTGGATGGAACACTAGATCCGATATAGAAGAAGGATATTTAATTTTTGCGTACCGCTCAACATGCTGTTGGGCTTTTGCGAAGATTACAAACGCGTGGTCGTCAACACTTGTCACGAATTGATATTGATAAGATCGCGCAATAACAATTGTCGGATTGGAGATCCAGCGACAAACGACGCTTGAATTGTTCAAAGTGCAATGGCGAATGCCGCACGTGTTATTGAGCGAAATAAATAAGCTGTCGATGCTACGAGCATTAGAAAGAGGTCGTTATCTGAGCACAAGTTTTTGCTCATAGGATTTAAATATACTCTATTATAAAATATCAAACATTCATGGGCCATCAAAACGGCTACTCAGTTCGAGAAATCGCGATACGTTATCTTTGCTCTGCAAACTGATCGAAAGGACAACATATTGCAAGATACAAGTGTGTTCGGTGCTTGTTATTTGAGTAACATAAAACTCTATCTAAATTCAGATTTTTATCCTTACGATGATTTGAATTTGGATTTTGATAAAAAGAGATACGCCATTCTGTTTGATATGTACGCACGTTTTCATAAAGCATATTACGGGATCGAAACGCTATTCAACGTGCTCTTGTTTGTCGAGAAAGGATCTTTTGCAGTCATTAACTGCTCGCGACAAAACAAATCCGTCAAGAGCGCCACCGTGGATGTATGCATAGAATTTGACTGCAAGAAGAATGTGCCAGTAAATATTACAGCATATTGTCTCATTATACACGATCGCGTGGTTTAGTATAATCCGTTAACCAACGTTGTGCGCAAAATCATCTAAGTGCTCCGACATACTACAAAATATACGATTCGTCGAAATCGATCGCAGTCTCGAAAAATCATTCGCCATGACCAACGTGGATCTGCAAGGATTTATCGTTAGAAAGAAATTTATCGTGAAAGAAGTGGCGATGTTGAGAAAAGGAGCCATTCTCTCTCACTACATTTTTACATATCCAATGTCATAGAATTTCTTGACAAAATCCGAAAAATATTGTGTTTCCTGGCTGAGTGCTTATCACCATGGATTGCGATGGGAAGACGGGTTGATCTCATACAGCATGGTGAAACGCCTGATTACGATGGCTGTAATTAGTGCGGAAGAAGATGACGACAATAAGGCTCTCGTATACGTTAAAGAATGTGAAAAACGCGAATGGTTGGTGGATATACTCGATAGTGATGATTTGATCATTGAGACCCTGGATGCTGATTACGAAGATATAGATTCTTTGAATGATCTAGATGTTACTATTATTATGCGATGCGTAAAACATGTTAAGAATTGTGCGTTACAGAATGTATTTAAGATATATAAGTGATCGCAACGCCAAAAAGGAATATATCAAGTTTAAAATAAAATATAAGTTTTTTTAAAAATACGTTTTAATTTTTTTTCCCCTTTCCTTTTCTTATAGTTAAACATTAGCTAATAGCTGAGTAGTAATAGTAGTAATAGTACGATTTAATAAGTATTGAATTAGTAGATAAGAAAATGCGCTTGGCAATTTATATTACATTAATAAAAATATTATCATAATTAGCTACTATGTTATACATTTATAAAAAATATTATCATAATTAATTACTAAATCATATCATTAAATATCACATCTATTTAATTAAATCGCATGCGAGAAGAAAACGTGGGAAAGAAACGGGAAGAAGAGAGAGAGAGAGAGAGAGAATAATATAAATATAGGACCATAACGGGTGGGAGAGAAAGAACAAAATCCCTCTACCTCAGATCCCGGTGACGCATTTCCCTTCCTCGGACCTTATGTGATCCCCTCTCATACGCGCACATACACGCGCGCGCGCGCACACACACACACACACACACACACACACACACACACACACACACACACACACACACACACATCTTATATACGCACTAACACAGTGTTCTTTAGAATCGATCTATCTATTCTTCTTTCCTGCAAAAATTATCTCCTCTCTCGCAATTTGTTTGTAGTTAGAGCTGTACGCAATCTTTACGTTGAGTATTGCTTTAGTCACTTGTACGAAAAGTCCAACAATAGTAGCAGCAGCAGCAACAGCAGCAGCAATGTATTCCTGTAGGAAGTAACATACGAAAAATAAATTATTACGTTCCACTTCAGAATAATGATGAAACTCTATCATTTACGAAAAGATATGCCAAGTAAGTTTAAGAATTCCCCACTTTATTTTTTCAAATTAACTATTTAATTAATTATTTAATGTTTCTTTTATATTTTTTATAGAGCGCCCATGCATCGTGCGGTTCGTATACTAGGCAGAAAATACGCATTGATACGTACGGGATAGAAATTGATATCAACGTTGGCCTACCAAGCTACGTAGCGATAGGAGATAATCGTGGAAACGAATTAATACTATCAATCGAAATATGGAAAGGACTTTATGAACAACGTTGGAACATTCAAAACTATCTTCGGAATCATCACAAGGATAATTCTATTAGCGTTGGACCGCTGACTGTGCGATTCAATACCATTGAAAATGCTAAAATTGTACGCTTGGAATCACCCGACGTACGTTTAATAATGATTGAATCAACAGCATAAAAACATTGTTTATATTGAACTTAAATCAATGCATTGAATTAGCACTCGATCAATTGATTGATATCGTCGAGAAAGTCGATACAAAGTTTACACGATTCTCGAATATCGCATCCACTGTAACAGATGCTAAAGATGTACCAAATATAATATGCGCTAGCGATTACTTTGATTAAAATCAACTCTCCGACTGCGAAGTTAGCTGTAATATTTGTGCGTAAGAAAAAATTATGTAAAAGAAATATAAATAAAAAAATTTTTAATTTAAAATTATGATGAATTTCTTCACACATATATAAAATAGGGGACTAGAATATGCGGCTTGTGTCTCTTCTATTTTTCGTACAGAAGGGATTTTTTATGACTGTACATGTATATAAAAAATTACTAAAATAGCTATAATATCAAGAACTATGTAGAATTGCTGTAATGGATCAGGTACATCGATGGATGAAAGAAACAAAGAGGGATTAAAAAATACAAAATTTATTATTATTATTTACTATTACATTAATTTATATGTAGTATTAAAAAATACTTTAAAAATGCCATTGGGCATCGATCAATAACGCAGATATCGAATATCGGCGGTGTTTGGTTGTTCGGGACATTGGCTAAGATCAGTGGCATTTGATGGCTTGAGCATTAATAGCAGCGCTTTCTGGAAAAAGGGAACAAAAAAACTTGTTGATAACTTGTTCGTTTTTAGCAGAGAATGAAATGCACTAGTCACTAAAACGCATTTGTAAACAAAGAAGATACATACCGTTTGACTTATGCCGACGTTTGCCGACATTGACGGTGACATTGGCGACTTTGATACTTTTTTTCCAGGACATTCCCAATATCTAGCTTTTTCCCTCAACGATGATGGACTTGATGGACATGGTGACAACGGACCCTTTGCGCTCGCTCGATTTTCGACGTATATAGTCTTTTATTTTGTCAATTATGTCTTAATGTTCGTAACTGAAGTTTACGATTGAATAAAAAAAAATTTTATACACTGTCTATATATATATATACACTGCCTATATTCAATGTTTTATATACTTGTCCAGTTCAAGTCTTTTTTAATTTGTACAAATAGGGCATATATATATATGAAAGTATTATATAACACGGACTTCTGCATTCTGAATAGTGTTTGCCATCTATGGATGCATGCGATCTAATAACATGCTTGCGCATGTTGTACATGTGTTCGATGTCCGATAATCTCGTCATACACAACGTGCACAAAATTGACGAACCACCCGTCCACCCGTTGTATAATAAGAATATATTACGCACTATTTCGTCAGCATGTCCATTACTTCCTCAGAATAAACTATTTTGCACTAAGTGTCTTCACTCTAATCCTCACTTTGATCACTATTATAGCCGTCATCCTCCGATAATGCGTCCTCATCATTATCCATTATTGCTTCAAAATTTGCATCTTCGAATACTTTGTCGACGATATTAAGTTTTCTTCTGGTATATTATAATATGCACTATATTTTCCATCGGTATATTATACGACTTTAAGAAAGCTTCTAGACTGTATACTTCGAGACCCAAATTCATACTGTAATCCTTCTCTTCAACCGGAGTAGATATCTTTCTTTTTCTAATTTTTTTAGGAATGCTTCAAAATAATATAAATCATAAATTTAAGAAATTTTAAAATTTCAAAGTTTAAAGTATTTCAATTCCATTTGTCTCATATACGTATAAAGACACAATTACTGATTTTTAATAGCAGTCTGATGTCGGCGTTCGAATAATTATCGAATTAATATCAGTCATTTCAATCGCGACCAATCTTTATGTACTTATCTTAGACATACTTCTACCCTCATAAAAATTTATGAAAAATATAATTCTATCGAGTTTCATTTATATTTACACTTCTACAATACTAACTTTGACACATGCAAAAAACATATTCGATTGTCATGTCCCCTCCCAAAAAAAAGATAAACGATCGAGGCTCTTTTATCAAGGAAGAGAGACATTGCGTTTCAATATCATTGATTTCGATAGCAGCCAGATGTTGGAACTCAATCGATTAATTATGAAACTTGGTCGTATTTATTTAAAATAATTAATAAATGTTGTTTCTAGAAAAATTACATTACGCCATATCTTGCAATTTGAATGAGAGGGACTCCTGTAACGATCAATTAAATGGCAATGATCGCTTACTCGATTATCATCTAGTGCGAAAGGCTTTTCGTACATGTGACAATGCGTCGCACTGCGCAATGTCTCCCACTGTTCGCTCGACAAAGTTTTCATGGGGATATTAGTAGGAATAATAGGCGGGTTCTAACTCAGGTCCTCTGAGGGGAGCGCGGGGCGCGGGGGGTACTGGTAGGCGCGGGGAAGGGAGGGGGAGGCGCGGGAAGTCCCGGCGCTATCAGTGTATCATATCAGTTTACTGATATGATGATACGTATCGCTATGTTATGGTGTCACGTATTATTGGGACCGCCGCCACCCATCACCGTAGACGCTGCCGCCACCCCACCGCAGGCATCAGTGCCACCACCACCGGCGCCGACCCCGCGGCCAC